CCCACAGTTAGCTGCTTGGAGGGCTTGCCTATTTGTGAAACATAGTCAAGATGAGTGTTGGAAAATCACTACACATATTATTTTAAAATATCAGCTACAAATAATATTTAAAGGTGCTCAGAGGACGAAATCTCTGGTAACTGGGAGTGCAGTGTTGCTCTGCCTCCAGCACGCACTCCTCAGGATGCTGCAGCACTTGCCCCTATTTCTTTACTTTCTCTCTCTTCTAGATCAGCGGGAGAGTTGTTGAGCATGTGCACGTGGGGTCTGTTCTGAAAGGAGGGCCCCACTCATGTGCCACATTGGCCCATCGGAACTTGTGAAGCAGTTTCAACCTTTCATAGTCCTACTTAAATATAGATACGTTTTTAGTCATTTATCTAGTTTTAGAGATTTTTTTAAAAAAAGAAAAAAAATGCCGCTCCCTGAATTCCTCAAAGGGAGTCAGTCGAAAAGCTGACATTTCCTTTGCTTCTATTTTTCATGCTTGTAGCACCTCACATCTCTCTCTGGTTCGGCCTTTTGAACATGGTCTTGGGCACAAGCACTACGCAGTTGGATATATCTGTGCACCTCGTATCTGTCTTCCTCTCTAGATCTTAATGACGTGTTCCTATCTCCTTTTCTGTGTCCTCATGACTTCAGGTGTGAGTTCTGTCGCCCTGGAAATTGACTTCCTATGTAAGAACAGAAATATTAATCAGAACAGGAAAAAAAGTAGACCCTATTAAAGTGACTTCTGCCATACCCATTTCTCTGTTCTGTTTCCTTCCCTTCCCTTCCCCCCGACCCATGCTCCTCCTGTTTTGGGGACACCTGTGGTTAAAGGGGAAAAGAAGTTTGTGAAGAAAAGGAAAATCGTTGGGTAACAAGAAAATTAGTAACAGTGAAAGATAGTATTTTCAAAATGTGATTCACCATTTGATGAAAACTTAACTTGGATGTTGATAGGCCAATAGGATTTTCTATGTTAAGATATTTTCTATCTTAACTCAGTTCTGATCTTTCCTTAGCAGTGTGTGATTTTTTAAAGTCCGGCAAAAAGCTTCTTCTAACTCACTTAGAAACTGGCAGTTGTGGTCCTTGCTGATTAAAGCCTCAGGTGTTGACACAGAGGAAGCTGAGGGGTTCTTCTTCCATTGCCTACACGATCTGATCGAGACCTGAAATTCTACCATGTGCTTTCCAAAAAGTAAGGTATAAGATGTGAGGAATACAAAGTGTATTGTAGTACACACACATGCACAAACACGCACACACATACACATTTATACATGCGTATAAATATGGTCACTTTAGACTTGGGTCTGAATTTCTAGGAGATTTTATATATGAAAAGCAGAGATGCTGATCCTTTCTTTCAACACTTAACTTATAGTAAACTCATAAATATTCTACTTATATATTTATAAGTCTCATCAGTAGTCAACTTACATCTCATAAGGGGAAGACATCTATATCATGTTAATATATATTTTTTCTGTGTTTTAAAGTAAAAATATGATCTGAATGCTTTCATGGGTATAAGTAAAAAGGTTACTGGGTATATCTGGATGATTTGATTGTGGACAATCATAATTGTCTAGCTTTTTGAGTTTTTTATAATGAGCATGTCTCAATTTTATAGCTATAAAAATATTGATTTAAAATGACTCTGAACTTCAGAAGTTCTTTCTTAATGGCCTTTTTATTATTGCTGCTCTTTTTCTATATGGAGTTCTCATAGCTCAGAGCTCAAGTGAGCACCAAAGATGACTGCCTGCCTTTGTCAGCTTGGACTGCTACAACAAAATACCACAGACTGGTGGCATTAAACCATAAATTAAAAAAAAATAATTTTAAAGTTGTAGTTGATGTATAATATTATATTAGTTTCAGGTGTACAATCCAATGATTAGACATTTATATAACTTACAAAGTAGGCTGCTACTTGTGCTGGGTTTGGAGGTGCCCAGGAAAGGTCAAGGTGTGGGCCAAGTCCAGCTGCCACTAGTGCCAAGCCTAGGGCTTCTGAGCAAGATGTGTGGGGCACACTGAGGCCAGATGCTGCTTGTTTGGGTTTTGTGAATCCTTGAGAGGTTATAGGAAAGTCTGCAGGCTGAACCAAGACAGATAATTTGCATGGAAAAGCCATTGAAGTGGCTTGGGTGGGCCTGTAAGTTGAGTGGGGTGGGGGTCTGAGGGAATCACCAGGGTGGGGCAAATAGTGTGAGCCAGGTTGATGGGACTCAGATATGGCTCCCACCTGCACCTGAAGGGGGTGGGTTCAGCAAAGCATCAATAGTTCTTGCCAGCACTTCCGTCTGGAAGAAAGCTGCCCCTCCAGCCCTCGACTTGAAGCAGGACAATTCAGTTCCTCCCCTTATGTCCCTGCTGCCTTTTGAGCTTTGGCCTAGTGCTGGAGCTCAGCGTGAGTGAGTCCATCAGCAAGTAAGTCCATGAGTGGGCCCTTCAGGAGGAACACTGGGACTCTAGAAGCCCTCCATCTCACTCAGCCACAATCTGCTTTCTTTCACAGCCAGAAGTTATGGGGACCTCTCTTTCCAGTACTGTAACTCTGGGCAGCGGAGCCTATTGTGGGGCCAGGACCCCTTACTCCTGAGGGGGGAACTCCACCTCTGAGCTATCCCTGATTTTTTATCATCACCGGAGGATATGTTTATTGACTTTTGGGAGTAAGGAGGGAGGGAGGGAAGGAGAGAGAAAGAGAGAGAAAAAAAACATCAATCGGTTGCTTCCCATATTCAGCCCTGTCTAGGGATCAAACTCACAACTCAGGTATGTGCTCTTACCAGGAATCTACCCTGCAACCCTGTGGTGTATGGGATGGTGCTCCAGCCAACGGAGCCACCCTGCCAGGCATCCCTCTTGAGTTTTACTGTCACACTTGGGTGTGGGACCAGCCCATTCTGCCTCTCTGACCCTCCTACCAGTTCAGCGTGGCTTCTTCTGCATATCCTTAGTTACAGGACTTTTTTTCTGTCAGATATCAAGCAGTTCTCATTGACGGCTGTTCTGTAGTTTAGTTGTAATTTTGATGTGCTCATGGGAGGATGTCAGTAACACATTTTCCTATCCCAGCTTCTTGACTGGAAGCTTTAGAAATTTATTTTCTCAAGAGTTCTGGAGGTGGAAAGTCTAAGACCAAGGTGCCAGCACAGTAGGATTCTGGTGAGAGCTCACTTCCCTGCTGGCCGACGGCCACATTCTTGCTGTGTTCTCCCAGGGCAGAGAGAGCGAGAGCACAAGCTTTTTAGTGTGTCTTGTTCTGAGGACATTAATCCCATCATAAGGGCCTCATTCTAATGACCCCATCTAACCTTGATTACCTTCCAAATACCATCATATTAGGGGGTAGGGTTTTAACATGAGGTTTGGAGGCACACAAACCATCAGCCCATAACACTCCCCTCACTCAAACTGGAAGTACACTACACTTCCAGAAATTGCATCTAAAATACAAACAGCCTGGAAGGCTGTACATAAAGACATTAATGATGGTTACCTTTGGATGGTGGGATTAGGAGGGATTTTCTTCATTTTCAATCAGTTTAGAGTGTAGTACCTTTATAGCTGGAAAAAAAATGTGGTAAATACTGTTTTAAAGGAAAATGGAATACTGCAGAGTGTACCATCCTGTCATAATCTTGCAAATTTCAGAATCTCTTTGTTTCATCTTCTTGATTTTTTTCTGAGAATTAATAAAAGTTTCTCCAGCATTTCGAGCACTTGGATCTTGGCGCATGCATAGTGGAGCTCAATAAGTAGCTGTGGCTGTTCCTTGTTTTCCTTTCACTACGATGACAATTTTAACGATAGTAATAATTACTATATTGCCACATGAGACATGTTTCAGGCATGTAATATAGGGAAATAAAATAGAAAATAGTCACAAAGTTAGGATGGACACATTTGGGACTAAGTATTTTTAATGAATTAGTTATGAATTGAATAGCTTATTCATTTTCTTTACTTTTGGAACTCTTAGTTTTTTAGATTTTAGAAAAATGAATTGTTAAAAAATGAGCTGGTGGTTTGTTTTAAATTAATATTCAGTTATAAATGTATACAAGCTCCTGGAATCTGTACAATTAAATGGCAGGTAGATGGTGATAGTGAGAAAAAGCGAAACTTTTCACATATTTCATTCACAAGATTGATTTGAGTCTAATAATCAACTTTGGGGAATGTCTTCTTTCCCCTATAAGAGCTCTCTCTTCTCTACTTTCTAATGCATCATTTGTTATTATGCTCTATCTGTGTATAGAGTCTATAATTTCCTTAAAAGAATTCTTTATGGTTGTTTTTTCTCAGTTAATCTCACATTCTAGTTTTTTGACTGTGAATCAATAGGTTAGAAATATCCTTTAAGGTAGTAATGTTTTTGTCACACAGGGAGCTGACTGCTTGCCAAATAAATCATGATGTTGTGATATATTATTTCCAGTTGCTATAAATTTTTAATATTTAGTGTATCAGTCATACTAAGTCAAGTTTCAGTTATTTAATTTCACTTATGTCTGCATTTTAGATGAGAATCCTTTTTCCCATTAGTAGATTTTAATTTCCTTTCCTCTCACAGTCAAATTCCAAGCATGCCTTATAAAACCAGCCACAGAATATACACATTTTTGTGTTTACAAGTAGACTCAAGAAAATACAGTGGTAAACTATATCTTAAATTAGAAATTTTCCCACTAAATGGTGTTTTATTTTTTAACACTTTTGATCACTTTTATCACTATTGCTTTGGTAATTTGATTCCCAGGAATTAGACAAACATATCTAGGTAACTCTGTATTGTATTGAGACATGACCTTTATTGGGAGCTTAAAAAATAATCTCCTAAACGATCCTCAGAAATAAAAAAAATGGTCTGAATTCTGGGGTATGTCTATGTCATAGTTAATGTATTACTACCAGAATTCCTCTCTGAAATTCTGTTTTGACGATACTGAAAACAATTTTCTTTCTCTTTCCTTTTTTTATTTAACCAACAGGACACAAAAATTGCTTCGCTGGAGCGGAACATAAGGGATCTTGAGGATGAGATCCAGATGTTAAAAGCCAGTGGCGTGCTGAACACCGAGGACCGTGAGGAAGAGATGAAACAAATAGAGGTTTACAAAAGTCACTCCAAGTTCATGAAAACCAAGGTGCAGTCCAGAGTTATAAACTTTTATACTCATGGTGTGACTGGAAAGTTACAGTTTACATACATACTTTCCCCAAATACCCACATAATCTGCTTTATATGATATCATGAAGTATATGGACAGTAAAGAGGAATGCAAAGATTTTAGTTCAGATGCTTAGATTCCAAAAAGAAATGAGGGAAAACGTTTGGTAAAATTTCTACTTACAAAGGGGTTCAGGGTTTTCTAATGAGTTCGTTTGGTGTCGCTCTGTCTTGTGAATTAACATTTACTTTTAATAGTCCCTTCACTTCCAAATTTTCTGAGTTTTCATGTTTGCTATTTTTTTTTTTTTTTTAAAGTTTCCGTCATTGCCACATTTTGGGTCCATCTCTAGATGATTTTCTCAAAAGGTAATGATCTTAGAAGCCAATTTAGTTGATTTGAATGATAGGAAGATATTTGGATTTGAGCATAGTGGTTAAGAAAAAAGTGATTTTGAATCCCAGTGCTGCTATTTGTATAGATTATTCAACTTCTCTAAGCCTCAGTTTTCTCATCCATGAAATAGGGACAAGAAAAAGAAAAGTACCTCTATCATTGGATTCTTTGACAATACCAAGGGATTATGCATTTAAATCACTTAGTCCCTGGCCTAATCCCTACAAAGCAGTCAATAAATGTCAGGCATTGTTGTTGACAGTGATTATTATTATTATTGTTATCTGTTGCTATGGAATATTTATATGATATTATAGTAACGTGTTTCATTAATTTCTTATTGCCAGTTTTGAAGAATTTGTCTTATATTTTTCAAAATTGAACTGGGCTACAAATGGACCATGCACCCAAATATCTACTATTTTACGTAAGCATAATTATTGAATTTATGAATATCCCAAATAGGTCTTATGAGACTTTGAGGTGCTTTTATCTATTCTTGTCTTTAAATCATTTTGCTTCTGAAAATAACCATACAAATTAAAGAATTTTTTTCTACTACTTGCTCTTAAATACTCCCATTCTTGTTATTGATTTTACTCTTGTTTATTGTCTTACAAAATGCAGCAGACTTAAGAGCAATGCAGATTTCTGTGAGAAAGCAGTGGGAGTAGGGAGAAAAAATATTTAGATGATGGTTATGATTTTTATAAGTTGTAAAATAATTGCATATTCATTGCAGAAAATTTGCAAATTATACAGAGGAAATAATAACATCTAGCATCTGCTTCACCCCATATGTATATGTGCGTACATATGTGTGTTTTTTTCCCCTGGAAAAAACCCAAAAACTGTACTTACTTCTGCCAACTTCTCATCTGTAAGCTGACGTTGAGATTATGAATAAAAATTTGGATGAAGTTGTGGAGCTATGAGAAGGAGAATGCCCGCTGGATTAGAATCTAACCCTTCCTTTCAGGGACTGCCACAAAGTGCAGCATGGGTTTTTCTGCTCAGCCCTGCCTCCTGGTTTCGTTTTTGTAGCCCTTCCTTCCCAGGGGGTTCAGTCGAGGTGCAGCAAGCACAGTAGTAGAGTGGCCTGCAGATCATGAGGGATCTTTTCTTCCTCCTGCTATGGTGGCGATGAGGTGTCACTGCCTGTCCGAGATGCAAGGTGTGTCTCCTCTTGTTGGGGTCAGTTGGTCTACAGCACATGAGAGTTCTTTCTTCCACTCTCCTGATTCCATTTTAAATGAGGTTTTTGTTTATTTTCACATAGTTAATAATTATACCTGTTTTCACTGAAGTATAACCAAACACTAATAATAATAAAGTTGTATTTAATATGACTAATGGGGAAATGGACTTCTAAGAAATAAAATAAAAATGAGTTCTTATCATATCCCTTACCTTTTTATATTTCCTCAATTGCAAGGCTGTTTTTATTGGATGGAAGCATGACATTTATTGCTCATGCTTTGTATCATTACTTCAGTTACTTTGAGAAGGGTGTTTGATTCCTTGTTTAAGCCTAGGAATGGCTGAGCAGGTCTGTTAGGACGGCTATTGCTAAGCATTTAGTCCTGAGTGCTTGTGTCTTGTGCTTTGTTGGGATCCCTTAGGCTGTGTGAACTGATTCCAGTGGGTAAAGCGTTTATCATGGAACTTGCTAAATTGTAGAGGCATGGACTGATACCCTCTAAAATTGGATCACTAACATATTTCATGGTTCATTGTCGCCTATTTGAAAATTTTTTCACAAAGTTTACATGACTATATTGCTTGTCAAATCATCACAGATATGTGAGGAGTTAATTTTTGCAACAGTTGGTTACACACATTGACAGAACAATCTAGAGTCACCATTGGGGTCTCTTGAACTCTTTAATCTTGCAGAGTTAATGGATAAAGCTGCCATTGCTGGAGTTTGAGTAATGCAGCCCCCCATAGACCCGCTAAACATTGCTTCTAGCACATGGCACTGAGCTGGCTGGCTACTGAGGGACACTAAAAATAGTGCATGCTCAAAGTATTTTCCATTCCCTCATACTGACCACTTAGTTGGGAATGTAAGAAATATACTCACAAAACTACCCTGAAATTTGCTGGGAGGAGAGTTCACTTCCAGTTGGAGCAATGCAGGTCTTAGGTTTTGAGGTGGTGGTATTTCTTTTTTTTTTGGTCTAAATATTCAGATTGGTCCAGCAGCAGTGACAGGTCTGGTGATGAAGGCAAACTCAGATCGATGCCAGAGCAATCCTAGAAGGATAAGTAAAAATACCCACCCACCCCAGCTTCACACAGGCAAGGAAGCAGGACAAGCTCAAGTCGATGTGAAACGACACATTTCCCCCCGCAAAAAGAAAAGGGATATTAGATTTAAACTGCAAAAACCTAGAGACTCTGAAACTCACTTGGGAAATGGAAAAGTGATTGTTAAAGTCATTGGTTTACTGAGGCAGTGATTGAAACGGAAATCATAAAAAGACTGGATCCCAACTAACAAAAAATGCTAGATTTGAGGCTGGAGAGTCGACACTACAAACTTTCGTTTTAGTGGCTTATAAAGACCCCAAGAGTCAGAAATTTTTATGAAATGATGCATAAGGAGGGGAGTTGAACTTTATTGGAAACCAAGCCTAAAATTACAGCTAAACATTGTTACTTCTCATTTGCTGTTTGTAATGAATATGAAAACTTTCAAAAGTGGCCCAGGAAGCTTCTCCTTCCCCAGTGGCTTTTGGAGAGGCACCTCGGAATGACCACGGTGTGCAAAGACTAGGTTCAGAGGCGCTGCTTGACCTGAGTATTTCTTTAACAGAGGTCAAAGCATGTTTTATCATGTTTACTTGGAAGTTTACTATTTTTTAGGTAAGAATGGTAAGATAAAAACAACCAAATTATGAAACAGTAGCCCCTAAAATTGTTTACATATCCATGTTCTCATTTGCTTATATTTTTCAAATATTTATTTAGCTGAAAATTGTTTTTATGATCCATTGGTGATAAAATCGACTCAACATTTGACCCCTCTTCGTTAACAGTTCATCATCTCAAATCAGTCTCCATCTGAATCTGTAATGATTTGCTCCAAGTAGATAGTAAAGGCAGCTAAGGACAATTCTTATGTACAAACTCATTTTCAGATATAGAAGTATCTTGAAATACATACATTTTCAGTGAAAATGTGACAGAAAGAATGTATCAGTGCTATGGTATGACAAGAAATTGCTGCTAGCATTAATGACTAAGGTGGGTAAAGCATGTAGGTTGGAGGGAAAGGAAGTATTTTTAACAGCTTTGGAAAGGGCACCTCCATTTGGATGCTGAGCAGCTGGCTGGGACTGGTGGGGACTCCTGAAAGCTATGTGATTAAACTATGTAGCAGTGAAGACCTAAATTGCTTTCATAAACATGACATCATAGAAAAACTATGATGCAGCAGTTTTGGGAAGCTGGAAGGTGAAGAGCAGAAATGTAAAAGCAGAGCTCAGTGTCTCAGCTTCTGCAGGGATGCTAGACAGTCGGCCTGGGGGAAGCCCCGGCGCCTTGCAAGCCCTTCGCACGTGCACGTTCCCCTGAGTGCCGAGGCTCCGGGAGCCCTCCTGGGCCGTGCGATGCTCCCCTGCTCCAAACTGCAATTTCTACCCCAACTCAGAGGGCTTAGAGGGATCAGACTATGAGAGCAGAATGAAGAGGCTGTGAAAAGCAGGAATTACTTTCAGGAGCACCGTTAAGCCTTTAAGAGTGGAATGTAACATTATAAATAATTGTTTTTGTGGTAGGGAAAGAATGATGGCATCTGCTGTTCTGTAGGAGGCTTTGTTCCTCATCTGACACATTTTTCATCCACCGATGATCCCAGTACTTCTGTGTTGGCCACTCCCTCTGTCTTCAGAGTTGGCCAAAGACGCCACTCTGCTGTCTTCGATCTCCCCCTTTATTCTGAATTTGTAGCACACTTTCTTATTGATCTCTGACGGATTACAATCCTCATGACCCAACCTGCATGATAATACACGTACGTATCTTTTGCTGCACATGAGGCCCTATCTGCAGTGCAAGAGAAGCTGTGCTCCTTGGCAGGGTCATTTTTTCAGGGTGTTGGTGTGTCACAGACATTAAATGGTGGAAGAGCTTTCAGACGAGATGAAGTGTGCCTGATGTCCACATGGACTTCATAGAAAGCATGTGATGTCATTCCAGTCGGCTTTTCTTCTTGCCATCACGGAGACAGACCCTCCCCTGGCCCCAGTTCTCATGTATGTTCGATTGCATCACTTTCCATTTTTATTGAGTTTATGGCTATAAAAGAAACCAAAGGCATATTTTTATGGAAGAATATGATTTTCTTTAACCTGGGAACTATATTCCCCTTAGAAAAGCCTTTATTTTTTGTTATTGTCTGCATGAAATATTTATTTAAAATTCATCTCATGGCAGTGATAGTCTGAAAGCTATTTAAAGCAACTGCTTTTTAATATTTATAGACTGAAAGAGTTTTATCATTATCAATCTATTTTTATTGAGTAAAGTAGGTGTATGTAGAACCTGCCATCTTTTTCCTTTATATTAAATAC